TTCTGCATGACAACAGAATTCATTTCAATTCATAGTGCACATATAGAGCACAATTTTTCATTTCTCTGGTTATATACAAAGTAGAGTCACACCATTCATGTCTTCATACGTGTACTTAGGGTAATGATGACCACTTCATTCCACCATCTTTCCTACCTCCCTCCCCTTTGCCCTATCTAAAGTTCCTCTATTCCTCCCATGCTCCCCCCCCACTCCCATTTTGGATCTGCATTCACTTATCAGAGAAAACATTTGGTCTTTGTTTTATTTGGAATTCGCTTACTTAGCATGATATTCTCCAACTCCATCCATTTACCTGCAAATGCCCTGATTTTATTTTCCTTTAATGCTCTGTAACATTCCGTTGTGTATATATACCACAGTTTCTTAATGATCAGGGAAAGGTATTGAGATATACTATATGTTTTCCTCTTAGCTCTGGACGCTCAGATGATCCAGGAGTAATGACATCCCAGTAGCAATGAGCACGCTTGATAGCCAGACCCTGGTTTCTGAATACCAGGCCCCACTGACAGGAATCAGGTTTTCTTGGAGAAATGGCTACTTCCGGGGCTGGTACAAGGAAGGGACAAGATGGACATGAAACATCAGAAGATGAAGAAGGACTCCAATTAGCGGGGAAACATGTCCCAAGAAGACAGGAGCCATTTTGGAGAAACTCTCATTGCCAAATCTGAAATGATTTAAGCATCAAAATAAATAATGGGGGCTGGGGCTGTAGCTCAGAGGTAGAGCACTTGCGTAGCACATGTGAGGCACTGGGTTCCATCGATCCTCAGCACCACAAATAAAGGTATTGTGTCCATCTACAACTAAGAAAAAAGGTTTTAAAATAAATAAATAATGGTAATAGCTGAGTGTAACTTATTGAATAAAAGCAGCAATTGTGAGTCCACAAGGATGTGTGGGTTTTGGTTATCAATCAATTAATAGGGATCAATAAGTAGGGAAAGCTCTTCCTTAAAGTTGAGAGCCAGTTAAAGAATGTAGTATAGAATTTCAAAATCACCAGGTGATAACCATCACAATAATATGGGTTCAGACAAGAATCATCAGAGGGTGCTAAACCTAGTAGGTGACAGCCTGGTGACAAATGGAACATTTATATAGGCCCTGATTGCCTCCCCACCAGACACTCATTTACCCAGAAACCTGGCAGAAAGCACTCAGACCAAGTGATTAACGTGAACATCACGAGTCATGGAACAGCCAACCTCCTCTGCCTAGGGACACTTGCTGAGGACACTGTCTCTTCTGGATGTTCTTGCTTAAAACGCAAAACCCAAATTTAATCTAGAGAAAACATCAAATTCACCCAAATTCAGGGACATTTTACAAAATAACCAGCCAAGTCTCCTACAAAATTATCAAAGTCATGAAAAACAAAGACAGACTGAGAAATTGTTCAAAGGAACCCAGAGATACGACAATGTAATGTGATGTATAGGAGAAGTGGATCCTGGACTGTAAAATCTTTCTCTCTCTCATATCAGGGATTGAACCCAGAGGTTCTTAACCACTGAGCCACATACCCAGCCCTTTTTTGTACTCTATTTAGAGACAGAGTCTCACTGAGTTGCTCAGGGCCTCACTAAGTTGCTGAGGCTGGCTTTGAACTCACGGACCTTCTGCCTCAGCCTCCAGAGCTGCTGGGATTACAGGCATGAGCCCATCAAAAATAATTTTTTCTTTGACTACAAAAAGTATTGGAATGATTGGAAAATTTTAAGCAGGTGTGCAGATTAAATTATATCAATGTTGATTTCCTGACTTTGATAACTGTATTATGGTAATAGAATGTGGGGGTTTGGGAAATACACATTGAAGTAGAGGTAAATATGCATCATATTGGGCTGAGGCTGTAACTCAGTGGTAGAGCACTTGGTTACCATGCATTGAGGCCTTGGGTTTGATCCTCAGTTAAAAAAAAAAAAGTGCATCTTATTTACAATTTTCAAATAGTTCATCTACATGTAGATACCAAGAAAGAATGGGAGTGAATAAAGTTAATTGGTAAGACTTAATATTTGGGAAAACTAGGTTAAGCATATGGAAATTCTTTGATCTACTCTTGCGACTTTTCTGTAAGTCTCAAATTATTTCAAAACAAAAGTTTTAAAATAAAATAAGTAGTTGTTGGATAAAAACGGAGGAATTATCTAGCCTACTCGAGGATTGGTAGGCATTCACTGTGTGATGGTCATTCTTAGAGAAGGGGCTGTCCTGTAGGGGCCAGGACTTGGACAATAGGACGTTCCTGGCCAGGGCTTTTCAAATTTTTCCATGATGAGGATCCTTTGGGATACTCAGTGCAGATTCTGGCAAGTCTGGGTGGACCCTGAAATTCTGCATTCCAAACAAGGTCCCGGGGGGCACTGATTCTGCTGGTCCTTGGGTCAGCCTATAGGTAGCCAAAGGGGTACACCACTGGAACTTCAAACAAGGGTCCCCGAGCCCGCCTGCACATTGGGGCCAATGGAGAAGATGGCTGTAACTGGTCTTCCCAGGTGATTTTTTTTTTAACATTTTTTTTTAATTGTAGATGGGCACATCTTTATCTTATTTATTTATTTTTATGTGGTTCTGAGGATCAAACTCTGCTTCATACGTGCTAGGCAAGCACTCTCCCACTGAGCCATAGCCCCAGCCCCTTCCCAGGTGATTCTAATGTGCTGCCAAGATTAACCCTTCACCTTGACCCCTGCCACCGCTCCCCATCTACTCAAATTCAGACCTTACATCAAAACACCACCATAGCTCCCAGGCTCAGTTCTTTGCCACTGCTTGACTTCATCCTTTATCCAGGAGCCAGATGAGTCTTCTGCCCTTCCACAAACCTGTAAGTCAAGTATGAGCTCCCCACCTGGACAACAGGCCCTCTGTGATGTGGCCGGAACCCATTTTTTTCTGGCTTCTTTCCCAGGTTCCTTTGACACTCAGCTCCCAGGGAAGCAGCACTCACAATCACACACACATTTGTAATCGCTCTCACAGCCACACGGCACCTGCCTTGGTCTTCCTCAGGTATCCAGGTAAAAAGCACTTCCCGGTGCCTTCCTTCATGGGGCCTTTCTATAGGCATTGGAGATCCTTCCTCTGCCTGGCCTCACTCAGGGTTCCCTGTTCTTCTAGGAGAGGTAGCTGGGCTGATAGTCTGGTGGCTCAGATGGGCCCTCCTCACCCAGAATCAGGAAAAAGCAGTATCCACTGCAGGGATACCCATTCGAGTTTACACAGGACAGTGCTCGGCCTCACTGCTGTGTGGGGTGGAGGGTAGGGGTGGCTTGCGTGTTGCCCTGGAATTCTGGCCTGGATGCCCAATTTCCTGACCCCTCCCCACCTCCCAACCCACCCACTCTTCACCCGCCCTCCTTCAGCCCAGCATGTGGCTAGGATCTGAAAGATGAAGAGGAAAATAGGTCACAGGGAGGTGCCAGCTGGGTTGTTCCCTCAGGAGACGGGTTGGCCCAGGAGAGCAGCAGTATTGGAGAGGCCAGCAGAGAGAGAGAGAGGTAGAAAAACAAGCTTGAGATGAGAACCCAGGACCTGGGAGGCAGGAGGAGATCACCTTGTTCTTCTCCAGCCTCACCTTGCTGGGGAAAGACACCCTCCTGGTCCCACACCTTGACCTCTGTCCCACGTGCTCCTGCTCCGTGCTCCCAGGGTGATGGAGCTAATTCCACTTGAGATGCTTGGCTGCCCAGGGACAGAGCTTCTGTAAACACTGGGGATTAGGGGCTGAGTCATACCCCAGGTCCCAGAAGAACCACAGCTGGAATCTGAGGGAGGGAGGGCAGCGTTCCTGGCTCAGGTTAGCTTCAGATGTCCAGAAGCTTCTAAGCAAGAAGGCTTAGCCCCACAGCCTCCGGCCTCTGCTCAGGCTCTCTGTCTCTCCCAAGAGTTGTCCAGCTGGAATCTTCCAGAAGAGGCTGATTCTGCCATGGAGAAGGGAAAATGGCCCTGCCTGCCTCCCATCAAGAGGCTGCCAAAGCTCTGTGCCCCAATGTCCCTGCAAGCCCAAGTCTCTGTCCTTGTGCCAATCTTTCTGGGCCTGAGTTCAGCCTAGAGGGTGTGGGCCATCATCCCTAAGGACCTGCTTCCCTGATGTAAGGAGTGAGGAACCCTGAGGTTTGCAACAAATCTGCTCCTCTGTGCAGATTTCCATCCACTCAGCTTCTCCCTTTGATTTGAGGGGTTTTCAGATTCTCAGGCCTGTTGAGTTCCAGAGGAAGAGGCAGGAAATTGGAAGCAAATGTGAGGTGAACCCCTAAAAGAGCTGGACATCCCATTCCTGAATGTTCTTCCCCTCTATCTGGCATCTCTAGTGTCAGGCTCCTTTCCAAGTCCCCCCAGGAAGAAGCTGTCCTCCAAGGGTCAGAGCTTCCCCCAACTGCCTGAGTCCCCCCTGCTGCCTCCCCTCTGCCCTGCAGAATCCCTTGGGCTGTTCCCTACAAGTCAACACTTGTCTCCTAGCTTTACTTTTTGCCTCCAAATTCTGGCTCCCAGGGCATCCGTAAGAACCCATTTGTTTCCAATACTCATTATTTCCCAATTCCCATCAAGACATCTCACAAATAGCCTTAGGGTCACCTTAGGATATAAGGGACAATTTGGATGCTAAAATATTATAGATTAAAATATTTAGATGAATTATGACTTGATTAGAAATGATGAGAGGAATTATAGAGGGAATAAATAAAAATATTTTAAGTTGAGAGTGCCTTAGAAAAATCCAAGACATGTAGGGTCTCCATATGTATACATTATATACTTATTATTATTATTATTATTATTACTACATATATAGTAATAATAATCACACACACACACACACACACACACACACACACAGGCCAAGCACAAGCATTCAGGACACACTGGAGTGTTCCTGGTCTTTGTCCCTGTTTTCCCTTTACTCCCCGTTCTCCCGGCTCTCTCACATCCATTTCATTCATCCCCAATCAGCACATTACAGGTTCTTCCATCAACTGGTCTTTATTGGTTTTGAAGTAATTGAATTATTGGCGCAAGGATCAGGGGTTTCAAAGCAAATGACAGAAGGAAACATACCGTTGAGCATGTGGGAAGGCTCCCCAGGGAGGCTCTCAGGGCAACTGTCAACCCCAGCCTGAGAGCTGGACCTGGCTCCTAAGGGTCCTGCAGACAAGGACCCAGCCCCAGCTGAGCAGGCTTCAAGAACTCGGAGGTGACAGAACCACCTCTTAGGGATGTGAAGGGGTTCCCCCAGTCCTCTCTCCAAGACAGACATTTCCACCTCCTGGGAAGCTGCTTCTAGCCTTCCAGTCTTTGCCACCAACAATAGCTTGAGGACCGTGGGGACCCTCTCTCTGAGCATGCCGCCCTGCTCTCCTTCCCCCTGCTGTTTCCATGAAGCCTCCCCCACCAGGGGCAGAGAAAGGCCCCTGCAGAGGGAGGGGAGTGGAGAGCCAGCGTTAGATTCCCCCAGAGGACATGTGCCCCCCGCACAATGGTGGGTCTCCCTACCTATCTTGGGGGGGCAAGGAAAAGGGGGCTTCTTAATGGGAGTGCTGCTGCCGCCTCCCCTCCACGGAGGGCTCCTCCTCCTCCTCGATGAGCTCCAGGTCGAACTCATCCTCCAGGTTCCCGCCGACCGGCAGGAGGCGGAACTTCTTTCCCTTGAGCGTGCAGGTGCGGTGCTCGAAGTCCAGCACGGCGTTGTGGTCCTGCAGCACGTCGGTGCCGATGATGGCTTCCTCGGCGCTCGCGTTGGCCACCAGGAACTGAGCCTTCAGCTTCAGCTTGCCCAGGCGAATCACTGTGTCCCACACACCCAGGATCTTCATTTCGGCCCCGTTGGCCACTTTTACCACGTTCTCGAAGGGCCGCAGGGTATCCAGATCGCCGTCGGTGACCTCCTCCCACAACTTCGGGTGGACCACAGAGACCTGGGCCCCCGAGTCCACCAGGAACCTCACCGACACTGGGCCAATCATCCCCTTGAGGTAGTAGCCCTTGCCCATGCTGTAGGCAAACAGGATCTCTTTGGGCTGGTGGCTGAGAGTGGCACCGGGGCCCCCGAAGGCCTTCAGAAGGGTCTCCCTCACCATCCCGTAGTCTCCCTGGTCCTGGAGACTGAGTCCGTTGTAGACCTCCAAGGCGTCTCCCCTGAGCGACTCTTTCAGGAACCTGAGCTTGGTGGTGTGGTCCCAATGGTTGAGGTCGTTGATGACCTCGAAGCGGTTCAGCCAGAGGCTGGGGGCTACACTGGCCCCATCAAAAGGCTCTGGGATGAAGGCATGCTCCCGGGGGCCTTCCCGTCTCCTGGCTCCGCTGGCAGCCATCCCTCTGCTGGCCTTTGGAACTTCAGCAGCAACCCACACCAAGTAGAGAAAGCCACAGAGCAGTGTGGGCGCAATCACGCTGGAGAGCTGGGCTTCTCTAAGCAGAGTGTTGTTTACTTGCCCAGCCTGGGCAAGAGAAGGGAGCAGGTAAGGGTTGTCGGCTGGCTGCTGGATGCAGAGGCAAGCACTATGTGGCCTGCTCACTCTGCAGAGCCTTTTTGATGCCTATCCTGGGCCCCCAGGGCTCCCCATTCTCCTTTGTTCTGGAAGCTCCACCCCCTTTGGCCGGCTGCCCTCTTGCCAGCATCCTGCCTGACTAGCAGGATGGGTGCCTCACCCTTCTGCATCCATCCACCGGGCTGACACAGGCCAGCCCACATTACAAGAAACTTCAGTCTCAGTGGGGGGAGGGGGCTACCCAGGTACCCTTCCCAGCCTGTGTCCCAGAATAACACAGATGAGGACACAGAGGATGTTATGACATTCCGGTGTTTGTCCTTACTCAGAGAAGGAAGGAGAAGACAGGGACCAGATTCTTAGCAGTTTTTAGTTTGGGAAAGCCCCATTTGGGCCAAGTGACCACTTTGAGTGGCCAAAGAGAAGGAGCTTATGTTTATTGAGCTCCCACTATGTACAGGAACTGAATAGGTGTTTCACACACATTCTAAACCAAGTATGGGATTCCAGAAGTTTCCCTGGAGAGGAAGACAGAGGAGGGTCCCAGAATCAAGAATCCACAGAAATCACCAGGTGCAATGGCTCATGCTATTTATCCCAGTGGCTTCGGAGGCTAAGGCAGTAGGATTACAAATTCAAAGCCAGCCTCAGCAACTTACTGAGATCCTGTCTCTAAATAAAAATATAAAAAGGGCTGGGGATGTGGCCCAGTGGTTAAGTGCCCCTGGGTTCAATTCCCAGTACCAAAAGAAAAAAAATGCACAGAAATAATTTTTTAATTGAATTTTCACACATATATGTGCATGTACTACACACATTCACCGTCATTTTATATGAACTCAATTGCTGTGGTGATTTTCCTTCATTGGTCATCCCTAATTCAGAGTCAGACCATCTGAGGACAAGGCCTCAGGCCAGGGGCTCTCATTAAGGTCCAGAAGTGGGCTGCTTCAGATCTTGAACTTCTGGGGATCGGCCCATGAATCCGGGATCTGGCTTCAACCCTGGAAGGGCCCCATGTTCCACTTCTCATGTGTTAAATCCTCCCTTCCTATCCTCTCTGCTTTCCAGGAACCCTCCCAAGAGCCCCTTCCCCAGATATGGCAGCCCTGCCTCTCACTCCCTCAGCCTAGTCATTTACAGAAAGAGCAACAGGGGAATCTCACTCCCTTTTTGTTCTGAGTCGAGGAAACGTCAATGTTGACAATGCCAGTGGTGAGGACCTCAAAGGCTTTAGCTAGAGGAGGCCCTGTTGACCCTCCACTGCTGAGGGTGGGAGGCAGCCCTGGATATGCCACAGATACCCACAGAGCAGATCTGTGAGCTGGAGATCTGACTTGGGCCTGTGTGGGGTGGTTGAGGCTATTAAAGGGACTCACTTTTATAATCCTGTTCAAATGTCATCTCCTTGACAGATCTTTCTATCCTGTCCCTAATGTGTGTACATACTTCTGGCTGCATGTGCATTACAGTGTGCTCTGATGGTTTATTCACAAGTCTGTCTTCTGCAATGAACCAGCCTGGAGCTCACAAATGTGATGATTCATGATTGTCTCTGTCCCCATAGAAACTTAATCTGGGACCCAGGGAATGCTTTCTGCTGGGTCTCAGGCCTGGATGTGTGCTGTCACCAAACAGGAGAGATTATGGTTGCAAGAGGAGAAGTCTCAATGTCACACCTGTGGCTCTGGGACTGTTTTTCCTGGCCAAGAGCCCGTCCCCCTCTGGTTGCTTTTCCCATTCATCACTCAGTGTCTATCTGAATCCCAGAGGTATCTGGATCCAATCCTGCCTCTGCATGGCCCCAGGGCCCCCAACTGCACCACAAGACTCTAAGTCTCTGTTGCTGTCTCCGGCCTCTTCCACCTGATGCAGTGAGCCAGTGGAGAAGCAGTTGGGTCAACACCTCTCATCACAGCTGCCTGGCTAAGGTGGGGCCATGGTAGTATTCCAGGAGCCCAGAGGAGGGGAAATGGAGACACTGGGAAGACATCAAAAGCAGATGGGTCTCAGAGAAAGACCTGCATCCAGAGAAAGGGTCCCTCCACTCTCAAGACCAGAAAGCCCCTTCTGCGAGTGCACTTTGGTGGATACACTTGGAGCTCTTGGGATGGGTGTGGTTCTGTGGACCAGGGAACCGACCCTGTCTGTGGCTTCCTGCCACCCTGATATTCGTCACCTTGCACATCTGGTCCCCTGGAAGTGGGGATGAGTGAGGAGGCTAGCATGTGACTGAGGGAAGGGAGAGAGTGGGTGGCTTGTCAGCTTCTGGCTGCATGTGCATTACAGTGTGCTCTGATGGTTTATTCACACCCAACTGCTTCTCCACTGGCTCACTTGCAAGTGAGGACAGGAGTGGATTGCTGGGCTCAGGCAGGCAGGCAGGCCCTAGGTCCCTGGGGACTTGTGCTATTAATGGCCTCTGAGGAGGGCCGTGACCTTAATGGACAGTGAAGCAAGAGCTGATTTAAGTATTCAAGAATTTTCAGAGCCAGTTGCTAAGCCAATTGGTAGCTTGAAATTGGACTTGGTGGGAGTATTCATGCAACAGAAACTGGCAAATGCTGAATCGGGACTTTTTTCCTGGAAAGCCAGTTTATCCCTTGCATGAGGTTGGGGCACGAATATCTTTGGATCTCTCTCCCTCTCTCTCGGGCAGGCAAAGCCTCATGGCCAGTGAGTGACGAGTTTGTAGCAGTCTTTTATCCCTGCTCCATTGTTTGGTCCCAAATCCCATGTCTAATGGAGGAGCCCGATCCCATCTGGCTGCTGCCCTCCCCAGTGATCTTTATACTTTGGGTCACTGTGGCACCAAGCAGGTTATCTTTTTCAAGGAGGCCCTCCAAGCTGGGTTCACACAGTTCCATTGTACAGGGTCTCAGAGTTACCAGGACAGGGGAAGGGGTCAGGGTCAGACTTTGGCTGAGCTTAGGGGCCATCTCTAGCTAGGATCAGGAACGGTGAAGGAGAGTTCTCTAGTTCCATTAGCCCTTGGAGAATGCCCATACCTGGAACACCCCAGAAACACTCAAGGACCTTGGAATGGCTATGCTCATGGTGCATTGATGAGCTAAACCAGCTGGGATAGGCCAGAGCCACTGCCTCCTCCCAGAACCTAGGACATGCAGCTAATTATTGACAAGTAAGGTATTGGGGTGGACCGACCTCATTATTCCCCATTAACATCTCCTGAGTGTGCTGGGAAGCAGGCATGCCAAACTTGACCTGAGAGGAGGTAAGTGAGGACAATAAACAGGAAGGACTTAAGGAATCCCCACCCTCCACACCCCCTCACAGAGATTTCTGGCCCGGGAGCTCCATGAGCCCAATTCTGCTCCAGCTTCCCGATTCCTGTTTGCCATCCCTCCTCCCCCAGGAGAGCACAACAAATCGGCAAAAGCCCAGGGCAGGGCTTATCAGGTCCCCAAGTACTGTAGCTCTTGGTGGGCCATGGAGACACCTGATATGCTTTAGATGGTTCCTTCTGCCTGGCAATTTCTGGGGATCATCGTGCGGACTTGTAGAGGAAGACTTTGACTTTTAGAAGGGATAGAGGACAGGGCCCTGTGATGCAGGATGGGGAGTAACTGGCTGAGAGGACATTGTTTTCTGAGCAAGGAGCCAAGGTCCAGAGATGCCTTGTGGATTGTGATGCCCCTAGCAGAGACAGCCTGGACCAGGAGGAGGCTCAGGAAAGGCCAAGACCAGCCTTGGCAATGCACAGGCGCTCTCGGTGGCTCCCTGCACTGCTGAGGCCAGGTCACCACAGAGAGCTGGCTGGGAGGGTGAAGGGGGAATTCAGACTTCCAAGACATCAGTAAGGGTTGGAAGGAGACGAGGAGGTGCACCTTCTCCACCGAGGGTCAGCTGCCCGGCCTGCAACTTGCCCTAGCACCCAGGACAGGCCTGAGCTTGGCTTGATGCCTTTGGGTTGCTGTCCTGAGATTTGGGCCCATACTTTTTTTTTGTTGGGCAAATTATCCAGCTGCTCTTTTCTCCACTAGACTGGGACCCTCTCTTCACACACACGCACAGATGCACACACAGACATATTCCTTGCCACAAACCACACGCACTACCCACACACACTCTGCATACTGTACACACAACCCATGCATATCAAACATACACCATGGATCCGGTCACTCCACAGTTCCCAGATCAAAACAGCTAAGAAATTGGGCAATGTGCATGTAAAATTCAGCTCCACCTTTCGTTTCGCATATTTATTTGCACTCACATTTACACTGAGTATTAAAATCCTATTTATTGGAGGCACCTGCTGTTTATTAGCCTCTAGGCACACTTGCTGCTTCAGAAAACTAGGCAGATCCCCATCCCCACGGCTTACAAGCTAATGAAAACAGGATACAGATGTTTAACAGCCAGGTTTTGAAGAGTTGAAGACCAGCGTGTACATGCAGGCTGACCCACTTCAAGCAGCCCCCAGTTACAAGCTCGCTGCTTTGAAAAGAGCTGGTTTTTAAGTGGGTCATCCTCTCTTTTGCTCCTTTCCACCCAAGAATGTGAGACCCTCCACCTCTGGGCATTTGCCACGCAGAGCAAGCAAGCCCCGCTCCTGGTTGGCCTGGCCCACCCCTGCACGGCTCGCCCCAGAGCTTGTCCCCTGGCCCCTGTGCCAGAGTCAGTGTGAGTACACACACACACACACACACGCACGCACGCGTTTGGAGACTGCTGGACCAGAGAGTGGCCGAAGGAGTCTTGGGCAATTCCTTCCCCAAACACCTAGGAGCACTGCATTGGTTTCCAGAGTTTGCTTCAGGAGATTCTTGGCACCAGGGCTTCAAGATGAAAGGAAAAATGAAAAGGTGAATTTGGCACCAAATTCTGGTTAGAGATTCATATTGGAGTCCAAGGGGGTCCAGTAGGCTCCGACCAAAGCAAGGTGTGTTGGGAATCTAAGACACCAGCAGGTTCCTGTTCCCAAAGCAAAAACCCTCAGGCACCACTACCACATGGGCACTGCCCAGCGCTCACCATCAGTTGTGCCAAAGGCATTTGGGCAGGGTAGCTCTTCCTTGACAGTCCCCCTTCTTGGGCCCTGCCAGACATCCTCCAAATGAGGGTCCCTACCCCAACCCTCACCGATCGAGCCAATGTTGCTGCTGAGCACTCCTCCCTGCAGGCCCTTCCCCAGTTCTCCACTGTTCCAGAATCTCTTTCCCCCTCTGGGTCTTCTCTCCTCCTTTACCACCCAACTTAGGAGCCCTTCCACCTAGAAATGAGCAGTGCGGCCCACCAGGGAATCTCACACAGCAGCAGCAACGTGCTCAGTGCCAGTCAGGACCCTGGAGGGTCCCGAAATGTGTGGGGATGGGTGATCTGAGTCCCAGTGTCATCGTGAGCCCTCAGGTCCAGGGTCAGGACCACAGCCAACCAAGAGCTGGTCAGAGCAAGGTGCTGACTAACTCCTAGAAGTCCAATGTTCCAAAACTGGTTCTCTCCTGTTTTATCTTTCAATCAAGTGTGAAGCTTACTAATGTGTCCTGAAGGCCTTCCCAGTCCCTCCTCATGGCTCAGCCTCCGACTGGGTTTCCACCTTTTTCTCCATTCCTAGTGCCCCTAGACCAAGCCCTCATCCCTTCCTGCTCTGATTACTCCCACCCTTTGGGG